AATGAAGTACTGGGTGTTACAGGAGCCCAAGGGAAGGGGCTGTGGCAGCCAGGGCAAGATGGGAGGGAGGTGGCAGGGAAGGCTCTGAGGAGCAGACAGTGAGGTCCATTCTAAAGGATGAGTAAGGAGGACCTGACGTGAGGTCAGGTCACAGAGCAGCATGGGCTCTTCCAGCAGGAAACAGGCAAAGGGAATCCACATTTGCTGACACTTTCCAGGGTCAGGAGCTATGTCAGCACCTTGCAGACATGACCTCAGTTGACATCATCAACAGGAAAATAACAAGTTTTGGGATCCCGACTATCTGTCTAGTTGCACTATCTCTGGTGAGTTACTGAACTTCAAAAATCTACTCATTTTTTGAAAGGGGTAGATACTACCTGCTTTGCAGTTCTGGGGTAAGAGAAATGCTTCTGCTCACCCATAGGTGATCAAAACGCCTGATGCTTCTTAGAACTCATCCTGACAGCAATTGTCTGCAGCAGGTTTTGTCATACTGCCTGCACAGATGAGGACATGGCCCTCGGGTCACACCTCTGAGTGCTGGGAGTGGCAGGGCCAGCCTCTGACCCCAGGCTCCCGTGCGCAGCAACGTAGCATCATTAGTCCTACCCCAAAGTCAAACAGAGAAGATTTCTAGATCATGTGGTAAAGCCTATTATCTGCTATTAACACAGCTCACAGAGTGCTGGCTATGCTAAGGTTTCCCAAGTTCAGTAAAACTGTCCAATACTGGTAGCTGGAGGGTAAGAAGAAGGTTAAAAGAGGCCATCAAGGAGTTGAGAGGAAGCCTAGGTTTTATCCGAAAAGCACTGCTGTATAGCAAATAAGCTAGGCTCTCTGAACTAGATGGCCCTGCCCTCCAGGGAAAAGGCACAGACATTACAAACAAACATGTCCTCATCAAGGAGGAGAGGTCTGGGTCGGGAGGCTGGGAGGAAGGATTCTCTTTAAAATCAGCGGCTGATGTGGGCAAGAAAGGCCAGGAAATGTAGGAGAAAGGGCTAAGAGATTTGTCAGCATGAAGAGTCCTGTTTGAAAACTTTGATCCTGGGATAGAATAAGGATAAATGCACGAAGACAGCAGAAGCCCTCCAACCTGGGGCATGCATGTGTGACAGGGAGGGGGGCATGGGGAGGGGGCATGGGGAGAGTGCTTCCCCTGAGTGAGCCACAGGAGCAGGGACTTGCCCCATGTAGCTCCTGGGAAGTAGGAGCCCTTGCTGTCCCCACTGAGAACAGAGAAGCAAAGAGAGAAGGTGGCCATGACCAAGGTCACCCAGGGAGAGTGGCGGGAACCGCCCGAGTCCGACCAGGTTTCCTGGCCTTTCATGGGACATGCGGCCTCAGGCTTGGTGGGGGGTAGTAAGGACAGCTCGCTAAGTAGCTAACATATAGCAGCCACACAACAAGTGGTTTTCATTCGCAATAATGTTAAGGATGATAAATAGGGTTTCGGAAAGGAGATTTCTTAAAGAAAATAGTTGTACCTAACCCATTAGCTCATTCGGTCAGGCCCAGTGCCAGAGTGTGACCCCCCACCAGGAGCAGGATGGCTGACCACCCTGGGCCACTCCCCACACAACAGGCGGCCCTGACCACAGCAAGGACGGGCCCTTACACCCCGCCAGTTCCTTGGGATATGTGGCTGCCTTTGTGCTTTCTTCCTGGCCACCCCCTTTGTTCAGGCCGCCATGGTCCCTGGTCTAGAGCCACTGGTGCAATGGCTCCTCAACCCACTGACCAGCATCCCCAGGGGTGCTTGCATCTTTGCAACCCACTTGTCACACTGCGGCCAGGGTGGCTTTCTGAGACATCAATCTGGTCACGCTAATACTCTGCCTTCTGGGTCCCATGCTGAGGACAGCACAGCACGTGCTGGGCCCTGGGCCCTCTCTGTCTCTCCATGTAACCAGGATCGGGCTGAGATCTCCACCCAACCTGTCAGCCCTGACCCGATGGAAGCTCCCATCAGCCCAGCAATGCTGCACTGCAAGTGCCCATCTCTGTGTCTGTCCCCTCCCCTTAGATGGGGGCATCTCCAGGGCTCAGCTCACAACAAGCAGATCTGTAGAGTACCTGCCATTAGGAGGTGAAGAGCAGGGCCAGAGCCCGCGGTAGCCCTGGGCTGCCCATCGGGTCGTTGTAGATGCTGCGTCAACAGGTATGCATCTACTGGGTGCAGGATCCCCAATTTCCTTTAAAATGCATCTACCTAGCCCATGCGCCACAGGTGGGCCATTGCTACAACTATGGACGGGTGTCAAATGAAGTTCAAATGTTTGTACAAAGTCTAAATGTTTAGAAAACATTATTAAAATGCATAATGAAATTATTAGCCAATTCAATCTTTGGTCTTTCCGTCTGCTTGAATTCAGGTTTACAGTAGCAAAATTCTGCTATTCATCTGATGACAGATGTCATTAACAGATAAGAGTAGGGGCAGGGGAGAGAGAGAGAGATACTGAGAGAGAGACAGAGAGAGAGAGAGAAAATATGTCCTGAATGTTAACTCTCTTTCACTAAATTTGCCCATAGGGACAATCAAGCTCTCGTAAACTTCCGATCAGTAAATGTATGGGGCAGATGTGCTGGCACATGGTAGGCGATCGATAAATATGTGTGCTGCATGAATTATTAAGCAAATATACAGAAAATGGAGAGATCAAACGCAAAGACATTTTCCATACTTCTTTGACACTGGTTTTTAAGGACACAAGTGTTCTGTGGGCCACTGTCATCCCATAAGAAGGCAGCAAGGGCTGGGCGGGGACTGCAGGCTGGCAGGTGAGCCACGGGTACAGAAGCTGGCCACACCACCTGCCATTTGTGAAGTGGAGCTGCAGTTTTTACCTGTAAGGCAGGATAATGCAACCGCCCCAGGAGCCAGGTTGCTGACAAGGGTGACACGGCCCATGGCAGCACCAGCCCAGGGTGGCGGCTGGGAAGCAGCAGCTCTGACATGAGCAGGGTGCCCCTGTGTGTCCAGTACAGTGAGACCCTGTGATGGGTGGGGAGGGCTCAATCTGTGTGAAGCATGGGGATGCAGAAGTCAAAATCCCAACCATCCAAGGGCTCTGGCTTGTTTCTGAGCCTAGAGCGAGATCATTCAGGAGAAAGAATAGCCTCCTGCCCCTTCCTCTACTGGTGCTGCTGGTGTGGAGCTGGGGCTGCATCTGACCCATCCAGGACCACCTTGTTCTGCACAGGGCTCCTGGCCAGAAGCTGAATCTCCGAGACCCCAACTAAGAGCTGTCTCCCACCTCACATGGAGCCTCTCCAACCCTCAGCCTATCAGACAGACTCAGTCACTATCAGAAAGACCCAACAGAAAAATAGAAAGATTATCAGAAAGATCCAAGATGCAGCACAAATGCCAGGAGATGAGGGCCAGGGTCCCTCCCTTCCCAGCCTGACAGTGGAGGGGTTGTCTGTGGAGCTTTCTCCTTTGAAGTCTGAGGCTTGTGGGGTAATCTCCCTGCACTGGTCCCTGGCTCCACCCCTCACTGGCTGGGACTCAGTTTTCTCCATGGGAGCCACAGTGCTGGTCAGGGAGACGTGGAGGAAATAAACGGGATGACGAGTGCGTGCCTGAAGCAGCGGGAATCAGCCTGACTTGCTTCCCTGCTACAGCATTCGGCTCGTTAGTCGGGAAGAACTGGCTGGACCCTGACTTTATGCTGAGCTCTGTGGGGAATGCAAGGGAAAGACAACTCCCATCATCCCCACCGTTTTACTTCTCTCTGCACCAGAGATGAACGCCTGTCACTTCACAACTGACTGTCCCTGCTCAATCTGTGAGTCCCCACACACTCTATTTTTCATATCTGGTTCAAAAACTTTCTATCTACATGTAAAATGCTTATTTCATCACAAACTCCTTGGAGACAGTGGGTCTACCAGTCCCAAAGTCCCTTTAGCTTGAACAAATGAACTGGCCTCAGGTTCTGGAATCTATGCTGTGTGTAGAGTGAGAATACTTTTGGAGTCTGGGAGGCCATCTGGAAGGACCCCAGACCACACGACGGAGCAATGTGAGCACCCCCGTATCTGCAGAATGTGTGCATGACTGAGATCATTGACAGACATTCCCATCAGATCTGTCTCTTCCTGGAGATGGGCTCTCATGCCTCAGTATTTTGGGGCTATTTCTTACCTCTGTTCCTTTGATAAACTTCTATCCACTCTTAGCAGCCACTCAAATATCACCCCCTCTAGGAAGCCTTCCTTGAATGCCCCCAGTGGCTTCTGAACCTGCAGCACTCAGCAGGGGGCTCTGTCCTGGCTCCTGGGCAGTGTTTAATTCCCAGAGGACCCGTCCATTTCCTACCAGACAAACAACTGCATTGAGACCTTGTCTTTGCATCTCACCCTCTTAAATGCCTTGCAAAACACCTGACTCAAAAGTAGGTGCTCTCCAGAGATTGCTGGACTAGCAACTGAGGGACCCTGGACTTCTCCAGAGCACTCGGTCAGCCAGCAGAGCGTCTGCAAGGAGGCAGGAGCGGATCTGAAGCTGAGAGTAGGCTACTTGGTGCTACAGCACAATCCTGCTGAAAACTCTCTCCGACTTTTCCAAAATGGTGTCTTCATGCCTCGGTAAGCTGTACAATCCGATTTCAGTTTCTCAGACAATTGCACTCGTGTTTTCAGCTGTCAGTCTGTGAACCCCCCGAGCCCGACACTGATAGGTGGCCATTAGAACCTGTCACTAACATGAATATCAACACTGGCAAGAAGCATGTGATCCAAAGGCATGAACACCACTGGCTCCAAAAGGACCTTTCCTCAACCCCAATCAATACTGTGTTGAGTGGAGCCTTTGACGCGTTAAGAGGTTAAGGAAATGCCAGGCCTTTGGTCCACCTCTCCTTGCCACAGCATTTCTGAGCTATCTGCGGTGAAAATTCAATAGCTAAGAGACTCACAGGTCTCTCTTAGAGATTGGAACCCTGGGCGAAGGTGCCCCCAGGCCCAGGTGGCCCCAGGAAAAGGATATGATTCTCCAGCGGATGCCCAGCTTACTGTGGATCTCCAGGCCTCGGGCTTCCCGCCGCTCTTCCTCCAGCTGCTTGGGATTTGCAAATTGCCCCTTCTCCCCAGGGGACTCCGGGAAACTCTCAAAGTTGAACTTGTCCACTTGAATAGCCATCCTATGAGAAAGGGGAAAACACAGCAGAGAATTCATCAGGAGGGCAATTTCTGCTGGCTGTTGGAGAATCAGCACATGCCAGCGTGAGACACTATAATGAATCATTATTGTTAGTAATTCATAACGGATTCATTCCAAGAAAATGAAATAATAGACTCCCAAGGTGGCCCTGACTTCAGAGCTGCTTCAACACACAGTTTGGAGCTGAAGACACAGTCATTGCTTCAAACCTCTGGGAAGACCTCTGTTACCCCAGACAAAAATTTCAATTCCATAACACAGCAAGGCAGACAAGAACCAGTGTGCCACAGATAGTGAGCTGGATGGCAATTTAAACTCCTGTGCAGTCACAGACAACGTGACAATTATTTAACCCTGGGGACCCATCAGCCCACTGGGAACTCCCAGTTTATCCTGAGTGCTGCCTGCCTCCTCCCACCTGTCTTTCCTTCTCCAGCCAGGAGGGGTACCCCTCCCACACACTCCCACCAGCTCCCATTTGGAATGGTTGTATTTACCTAATGTCTGTACCCCCCACTGTATCTAGGAAATGACTGGCCTGCTTTTGATTTTATAGGTTCATAGGCAGAAGGAACTTGCCTTGTCTCAGATGAGACTTTGGACTGTGGACCTCTGAGTTAATACTGAAATGAGTTAAGACTTTGGGAGACTGTTGGAAAGGCATGATTTGTTTTGAAATGTGAAGATATGAGATTTGGGAGGGGCTGGGGTGGAATGATATGGTGTGTCACTGTGTCCCCATCCAAATCTCATCCTGAATTGTCCTCCCATAATTCCCATGTGTTGTGGGAGGGAGCTGGTGGGAGATATTGAAGCATGGAGGTGGTTTCCCCCATACTGTTCTAGTGGTAGTGAATGAGTCTCAGGAGATCTGTGGTTTTATCAGGCGTTTCCACTTTTCATCTTCCTCATTCTCTCTGCTGCTGCCATTCACGTAAGACGGGACTTGCTCCTCCTCTCCTCACCTTCCGCCATGACTGTGAGGCTCCCCTAGCCACGCGGAACTGTAAGTCCAATTAAACCTCTTTCTTTTGTAAATTGCCCAGTCTCAGGTATGTCTTTATCAGCAGCATGAAAACAAACTAATATAATGATTGATGGTTTATCAGTCAATGGATAAGAGTAGACGTTTTAGGCTGGGCGCTGTAGTTCACACCTGTAATCCCAGCACTTTGGGAGGCCAAGGCAAGCAGATCACTTGAGATTAGGAGTTCAAGACCAGCCTGGCCAAAGTGGTGAAACCCCATCTGTACCAAAAATGCAAAAATAAGCCAGGCATGGTGGTATACGCCTGTAGTCCCAGCTACTCAGGCGGCTGAGTCAGGAGAACTGCCTGAGCCCTGGAGGTAGAGGTTATAGTGAGCCGAGATCGTGCCACTGCACTCCAGACTGGGTGACAGAGTGACACTCTGTTTCAGACAAACAAACAAACAGAAAAGCACTTTGTATTATCACATAGACTGCACTGCAGCCAAAATATTGAGCAAAACCGTGCTCTGATTGGCCTCTGCGGCTTCTCCCTTAGACAAGCAGGAAATAGGGGACCTGCTGTTAAGGGATATAAAGACAAGATTAAGTCCAAAGAAGAAGTCTCCGTCTCCAAGACAGCTTGGGAAGGAACTACTGCAGTGTCAATAAATCTATAGCATTTGGCCTGAGGCATGGCACGTGGTGCTGAGCCACAGAAGAGCTGGAGACGCTCCCCGTAAGCAGCGGACAGTGCTTTTGTTGCAAAACATGATTTTTAAAAATCCCTTTTACTATATTCTTTTCTGGCTAGGTAGATAGCTTATTGTTAAAGAGGTGGAAGACAAAAAAAAGCATACAAAAGGAAAGCATTCAAATATTACACTCTAATGTTAGTATCTTTATAATCTTTTCCCTAAATATTTGTATTTAACATAGTTTAAAATCACTACATATATATGTATAAATCATGGTGTATTATATACACAAAGAAACACACCCACACAGTTTGAAGTCTTGTTTGATTCTCTTAACACGCTATGAACATTTTTCCATCATTAAAAATTAGTCTGCAAAATATTCTATCACATGGTTGTATCACAGCCTACAGAACAACTCTCTTATTTTTTGGACTCTCAGCTCTTTTCCACGTTTTAAAAAACTGCTATCGTAGAAAAAGGCCTGGCAAACATCTGTGTGCTGAGTGTTTCTGCCTGCACTTATGACTGACTCTCAGACCTGTTTCTAGAAGTGGAGCTACTGCTTGGAGGGTGTGAGATGTTTCAGGTCCAGGTGCCGAGTCTTCCAGAAGCTCATCCCCGAGCAGCGTGGGCAGGCCTGTCTCTGCACCACTGCCAATACTGGTAATGACTGGTTTTTAATCTTTGCTAGTAACAGGCAAAATGCTACCTCACTGATGTTTTAATGTGCAGGTCTGAATTACCCCTGAGGTTGAACATTTTCTTTCTTCCCTTGTGAGTAACCTACCTGTGCAGTGAGAGCTTCTCATTTCCACCCAGCAAAAAGCTCTTCTTATTTCCCCACCTCAAAGGCAGATTGAAGCAACTAGTGCTCTCTTCAAACAAAAGGTCAGAAATATTTCCCAAGTTTCACTAAAAAGGCCAACTTAAGTTCACTGCTTGAGAATCCAAAAGGAACTAATAACTTTCACCTTTCAGTTGGGTTTGACAACAGTTCCCAGCACCAGGTTCTCTTCCTGTTGATCAGAGAAGGGAGAAACAGCCAGCAGGCAGCTCCCTGGGTCAGAGCACACACTGGATGCTGCAGCCACTGGAACTGTGTTTGTGTGATCATCTGGGGGTATCTTTCAATCAATTTCTGGTTGAGTGATCACTATACTGTATTACCCTCCAACCTTAACAAAACTGTAGCCAACAACCCCATAAAACAGAAAAGGGAAGAAAACAAAGCGTAGAGCGCACTTGCTGTGCGCCAAGCCCATTCCTGGGTGTTCTGTGTGTATGTTCATGTTTTCAACCTATAGCCAGCCCAGGAAAGGCTGTGACCTGCTCCGTGTTACAGATGATGGGCTGCAGCTCTGGGCACCCAAGCCATCTGGCCCAACACCATGGAGGCTCACTCAGAGCCTGTGTCGCAGACTCCTTCCTCTCTGTTTTGTCTTGACCTTTACTCGGCTCTGCTTTCCTTAGGCAGGACACCTAAAGAGAGACCATTTCTTGTTCATGCTGTTTGCAGAGTGGCATGGGACAGAGACCCTGCAACTGCCAAGCCTGCCCACAACAGGCCTGCCGTGTGTTCATGGCCAGCCACTTCCCACATTTATAAGCACCCTCTCCTCTTCCTACAGTTACAAGACTGGGGTACCAAGAAACTGAGTGACTCACCTATGGTCACCCAGCTGCAAGTCCTATTGCCAGAATTCCAAGAGCCAAGGATGATTCCTCCAAACCACAGAGGAGCTCTGCCTAGTACCTGCACCCTTTTATCCATGTGCTCCCAGGCACAGCCCCTAAACCTGAGCCCTCTCCTCCTGACTCCTCCCATCAGGAAGTAATGGCAGCCCCGTGACTGTTAACCTGAAAACTGCAAGAGGCTTTCGCATGGAGGAGTCCTCACACCTGAGTTCACCCCTGCCAGAAGACTCGGCTGCACTGTGTGTGACAGCTACAAGGGCTGCACCATGGAAGGCGAGAGCGCCTGGCCGGCTGCCCGGGTAGGTGACCTTGCTCTAAATTCAATGGCAGCACCACCAGGACTTCGAAAGGGCCAAGGTCATTGGGTTTGAGGCTGGTCACTCCTGTGGAAAGCAGGGCGCCCGATGACGGTGGGTGGCTGGAGAGATGCAGACAGAATATCTACCCCACAGGGAGTACCAGAGGGCATGGGGGGGTGGCACTTGGCTGAGAGGCTCATAGGTTGATGACTGGCAGGCAGGGACACTGGGTGTTGGAAGGTAAGGAAGAAACCCAGGGCCACCGAGGGGCATGAAGGTGAGACCACCTATTGCAGTCGACTTCCAGAGGGGAGATGCAGAAGGCATGGAGGTGTGGCTGGTGGTGGCCTGTCCATCAAGGTGGGCACTGGGGTGGCAGCACAGCAGAAGATGGCATCAGGCTTCAGAGCCCCACACCTGGGCTGGATGCCCAGCTAGGCTTGGAGGTGACTTTGGGGTGAGGCCTGGTGCCTCCCTGATCGTCTCTGTGGAATGCAGTCAGCACTACCCGTGCCTAACAGCTAGGATGATTTGCATGTTCTTACTCAGCGCCAGCAATAGGGTCTCCCATCACCAGCCCACACTTCATGATCAGCTGAGTGCCCTGACGGCTCCATAACGACTTTCTCGATGACCAAGTCACTTTCCATACCAACAACAAAGCAGTGAAGCCTTGACGCCACATGCATGCCACCCTCCTCACCACTTGCCCCCCTGCAGCCTCAGAAGCCTGCCCGCCTGCAGGTGTGACTCACACATGGAAGTACGTCCCTCCTTGTCCTGGGTTTAAGCTTAAACACACAGGTGACGTCCTATGTTGGGGTGAGTAACATGTATTAGAGAATATTCATGCAATTCCCCATCAGAAAGTGTCCAAAAAGTGATTTGGAACATGGCTGATGCTCTGGCAAGTCACAGCAACGTGGCGGGAAAGCATTATCTTTGGAAACTGTGTGGAAAAGGCGAGTGAGGAAATCTGCGCAGAACTGATGGTGAGGGCGCCTGCCTCCTCTGTAGTGGGTGTTGGTGGGAGTGGCCTTTCAGGGCAGGTGGGGGGGCTCCCGGAAGGTGGCAGTGCCAGGCCTTGCCCAGGAGTCTGCATAGCACAGTAACAGCTCTTTGAGTGACTTTATTTTGCTAGAGTGGGCTCTGCTGTGATTGTTTTGATTTTTTTTTTTTTTCTTTTTTTGGAGACAGAGTCTCACTCTGTCACCCAGGCTGGAGTGCAGCGGCATGATCTTGGCTCACTGCAACTTCCACCTACCAGATTCAAGCAATTCTCATGCCTCAGCCTCCCAAGTAGCTGGGATTACAGGCTC